TGTTGTTTCTCAATTGATCTTATTTTATCAACTGTTTTGCCAGCAACAACAATTGATAACAAGTATTTCAAACTACTGCTTAAGGAAACAAAACCATTGTCAGCTGTTTTTCTAATTTCGACGTGCATCATCATGCCAATGGAAATGATATTTAAATTGATTTTACGATCAAATATGCTGTACTGTATCGATACGTTGCTTGAATCCAATATTATTTATTAAATGTGCTATATTTTCAAATCGATTTGCAAAAATTTGGATTTATATACTTTGAAATTAAATCAGCTTTAATATGGCATAAAAACAAGGGCAAAAAGTTTGTAGCTTTTAGGTGTTATTCACAGTAGAATCGAGACGACTTAAAAGAGTGTCCGATTTCACCCATAAATTTGTAGGGAACTTTTAAGCTGATAATTTGATTGCAAAACATTGTATAGCACGTTCATAGGGATTTTGAATACCTTTAATCTGGTGGAGAGGTTTTTGCGGTGTGATAATCAGAACTGGATATTGTTGGGAAAAATTGAAAATGCTGTTTTCTCAATTTGAAAAAAAAAAACAATAATTTAGCAAATTCTTAAAACGTATTCTACTTTTTTTATTTTTGACTCACATTCAGATTCTGTGAGTTATTTTAAATAGCAAATGACTATAAAATTCACGACTTTCAACTATTTTGTTAAAAACATTTTTCCCTGAATGCATGTGGTTTTCTAAATTTTCAAATGCAACGCGCAAGTACTTAGAGTTATCATATTCAAATAAAATTTTGCAAACCTTATTTTTAGACCAAAATACATATTTTCCCGCTTGGCGAACCAATTGTTTTTTTTACGAATGGTCTAGTCGAGGAGTCTATATAACTCTATATAACTCGAGACCGACTCCCTCTGAATGCCGTTGGGTCCAGCGGTTGTTTGATGAACCTCTGGACTGCACCGTCAGTTCGTAGAGATGCCTCCTGACGTGCCTTGGCGAGGGCTCTTCTGCAAGCAGCTGTCTATTTGGGTGACCACGTCTGTGGCTCCCTACTAGAAACTGTTTGCAGAGCATTGTGTTGTGCTGCGTGATGGGGAGCATTTGGCCCTCATCGTGTGGGTGGTGTTGGGGCGACATCAGAAAGCATTGGGTCGCTGTCCGTAGTGCCGTGTTCTGGCAGGTCATCCAATGGGTCCTGCTAGTCCCTGGCGACAACACGGGGGCTCCATAATTTAGAACCGGCCGGCCAGTTGCCTTGTATGTTGACAGCCACGTTTCTTTGTCTTTGCCCCAATTGCTGCCGGTCAGCGACTTGAGGAATTTGTTGCGGCTCTGTACTCTGTTGACAATTGTGGTTGTATGCGCCGAGAAGGGAGCAGACTGTCGAAGGTTACTCCGAGGATTTTTGGTTTATTCTTTGTCGGTATTGGTTCACCATCTACGTGAATATCCAGTTACATTCTGACCTTCGTCCAGGTGGCGAACAAAGTTGCCGAGGATTTCGTATGGGAGAGGGTAAGGCTCCTTGCAGTGAATAAGCGAGAAATCTGGGCGAGATAACGGTTTATTTTCGAGCACAAGTCATCAGTTCCATTCCCAGATGCCATTATCGAGCAATCGTCAGCATAAGAGATAATAGTGAATCCCTATGGTGGTTGTGGGAGCTTCGAAATGTAATAGTTAAACAATTGCAGTGTTAGGACACCACCTTGTGGTACCGCTTTTTTAACTTTTATCGGTTTGCTAGTTTTGTCTAAAGATGATTGACGAATGTCGACCACTCAGATAATTTGCCGACCATCGTTTAAGTCCTTGTGGGAGAGAGGAGGCCTCAATGTCTTCTAGTAGCGTGGAGTGACTGATGGTATCAAAAGCCTTTCACAGGTTCAGCGCTACTAGGACTGTTCCCTCTCAGCGGCGTTTTCGGTTAAGGCCACGAGTAATCTGAGTGTGTATAGCGTTAAGTTCTGTTGTTGTGCTGTGCAATTTAAGGAAACCCATGCTGATGCTTCGGTGGGGTCAGGTGGTTCGTGTAGTGTGGAGTAGCAGGGCCTCTATTGTCTTCGCTACCGGGGAAAGGAGGGTCATCGGGCAATATGTCTCTCCTTAGTTAGACGGTTTCCCCAGTTTAAGCAGCGGGACCAGCCTTCCAATTTTCCAGATGTCTGGAATGATAGGAGTGGCCATAGACAGGTTGAAGACCTTGGTTAGATAGTCCACTCCTGTAGGACCAAAATTTTTCAGCATCAGCATGCAAATTCTATCGGGTCCTATGGCTTTGGAGGCTTTCGCCTTGCCGATGTCTACCCGTATTTTACCGCGGATGAAAACAAGATGCGCACATGGTGTTGGCAGTTTGTGCAGCCTTCTGGTCACTCGACGTTTGGATTTGTCCGCCAGACGATGCAGTATGAATTGTCTGCTAAAAAAGCTCGCTCATCGCTGCGGGTCCGACGAAGCGTGGCCGCCAAAAGATAATTCAACTCTGTCGTCCGCTTTGTCTTATTCGACCTTCGAACTCACGGTTGACCAAAGCTTACTCACACCAGAAGTGAAGTTGCAAGTCTTCAGATGCTCTACCCACTTTTTCCGCTTATGTACGTTAACTAGTTGCCGATCCCTGATACGGGGATTTCCGGGATCAGCCTGACGAAGGCTGTCACACTCTTCGGCTAGGACAGCCGCTTCAGCAGGAAAATTCGGACGGGGATCCGAAATGCATCCTGCCGGAATGAAGCGGGCTGCAGCAGCAGTGACAACCCTGCGGAATTTACGCTCACCTACGTGAACGTCGGTTGGGGTGGGTAAGGCAATGAAGGTGCTTTCAGTAACATCCGCGAAGCCTTTCCAATAGCTTTGGAGAAGTTTACATAGGTCCGGTGATCCGCGGAAGCAAAGTGGGAAGGTTTATCACTCGAGAGGACTATGGGCAGATGGTCTGGTGCTAACGTCAGCATAGGTCGCCATGATATGCTGTTTGTCAGACCAGTGCTGACGCGTTTAGGTCTGGCAAGCTGCAGCAGCTGCCCATAATCCGGGTGAGTGCGTCGTGGTTCATTGTGCAGAATGTGGAGTCGTCTATCTGCTCAGCCAAGTGTGTTCCCCTACGATCATTCGACAGGCTTGAATGCCAAAGATTGTGATGCGCGTTAAAGTCAGCAACTACCATACGGCTTTCACCTCTAAGGAGCGCACCTATTTCAGGGTATCCTGCCGGGCAGCTGTTGACAGGGGGTATATATACGAATAAGTTGGTCACAACACTCGCTTTGTGTGCTCAATATACTCGAGTGCTCAAGTTTCAACTCGAGTGTGCACAAAATTTGCTACTTTAGTTTACGGTAATGCGGCGATGCCCAAGCCCTATGCTACTTAAGCTCGCTATACAGTTCAATGCGAGTGTGAATGTAAACATTCACAAAGGCAAATAATTCCATTTGTATTCTTATGCATGCACACACACACATACGTGTCAAAACTTGTTGTTCACATGCGAATGCTTTGCGTACGCACAAACTTGATTGTGAGCTTGAAAAATATTATATTTTTTAAATTACTTTTAATTCTATAATTCTGAAAGATATTTTAGTTCTCTCTTTTGGTATATTTACAACTGCAAACGATGAAGTAATAACAAAAATATTGGTCAAAATAAAAAGCTCACGTTGACGCTCGCAATGAACTCAATAGCGGGCTTTACATATGTTGCGGGTATTAGAGATGCCAGACCGAAATAAAAAAATCGATTTTTGAATCGGTTCGAATCGAAATAAAAATAATAGATTCAGGAACGAATCGTCTAAAAATAAATCGATCCCCAAGATATATTAGGAACGAATTTCCGTCATCCCAACATAGCGTATTTTGCTTAATTTTTATAAAGAAGCAAAACACGTCGATCTGAACAAACTTTTATTGTACATAAGTAATTTTTAAAACATACTGTGACGAATACTGCGGCAACGCGAAGCGAACAACGAGAAATAGGCAGAATGTTCGAGGAATGACGTAGAATGTTCCGCAAAGAGAAACGTCAAGTTGGATGAACACTGCGAACAGCGAGAGAAAGAGAATGAGCGATTAACTTCAGAACGTTATAGAGTTGCCATAAGTGCGAGCGCAGGTATATAAGGGCGCCGCCACAGCGAAGTGAGTTAGTTACAAGCAGTGTTGCTGCCGCTCAAAGAACTTTCTTACCAAGATTAGACGAAAAAGTTACCAAATGTAAGGAAAAACAACCAACTTTTTATTAGATTAACAATTCAGGTCATCACAAATTCTTTTATATAGTACGTACAGAAAAAGTTCACAAACCAAAGAAATTCAATTTTTATTTGCATTTTTGAAAAGTAAAACCTTTTAAGGCTGTAATATATAAATACATATTTTAAAAAATCAGGCTTCCCGTATTAGGTGCGTATGTATGTTAATATCTTCGTAAATATACCAGACTCTAAATGACGTTTTTAAATAAGTACATAGGCACACAGTTTCCAACTTCTTTGTAAGAATCGATGAAATACCTAATTAGCGTGAACAACCACATTGTATTTTATAATTAAGATTAAACAATTAAAAATTGGATTGTATTGAACTATATCGTCGCTCAGCGCGATATACCTCGTATACGCCAAACGCAGTACCGCGTATACGATGGTAAATAAATTTTACAAAAGCACAAAAACCGATTTTTTCAAAACTGTGGAATGGTATTTCCCTTGAACCTACTTGCTGTAAGATTATTATTATTAATCTTAACTTAAATTAATAAAGTAAACAGTATTGGAAAAATAATAACCAAATCCCTTTTGTATTGTACATACATGACGTGGTATTGGAGCCGCATATACGAGGTATTTATATATGTACTATCTGAGTATGTATTCATTTAAAGTAGTCTTTAGCCGACCATGTATATTATGTATTCTGTATATTATATAACAAATACATACATACGAGGGTCGTATGAAAACTACCCGGCCTTGAATAGAATAAAACGATTTTTTTTAACGAAATTCAATTTATTTTTCAACATAATCTCCTTTTAGCTCGATACACTTAAGCAAACGTTTTTCCCACGTTTTGATCCCTTCCGAATAATAGGGTTTCTCCAACCCTTCAAAATAAGCATTTGTTGCTGCAATTTCTTCATCATTTGAGCTAAATTTTTTCCCGCCGACCCATTTTTTAAGATTAGGAAAAAGGAAAAAGTCACAGGGGGCCAAATCTGGAGAATACGGTGGATGAGGAAACATTTGGTAGCCTAATTCATTGAATTTAGACATGGCTACGACACATGTGCGTACACGAGCATTGTCTTGATGAAAAAGAACTTTTTTTTTCAACAAATGTGGACGTTTTTCCTTCAAAGCCTTGTCAAAATCACCCAATATTTTGCAGTAGTATTCGCCATTAATTGTTTTTCCTTTTTGTAAGTAATCAATATGTATAACCCCACGCGCATCCCAAAATACTGTGGCCATAACCTTGTTTGCAGATAATATCGCCTTTGCCTTCTTTGGAGCTGGTTCACCACGACGAGTCCACTGTTTTGACTGTTCTTTGGTCTCTGGTGTGGAGTGATGAATCCACGTTTCATCGACAGTTACAAATCGACGCCAAAACTCCTGGGGATTTGCGTTTAACATTGATAAACAATCATTTGAAATGGAAACACGTGTTTGTTTATGGTGTGTTGTGAGTAATCGCGGCACCCATCTTGCGGAAAGCTTTCTCATATCCAAATGATTTCGCAAAATGTTATTAACCCGTTCAATTGAAATGCCCACACTCTCACCAATCTCACGCACTTTCAATCTTCGATCACTCATTACCATATCACGGATTTTTTCAATCATTTCTGGTGTAGTGACCTCATTTGGACGACCTGAACGTTCCTCATCAAAAATGCTCGTACGGCCGCGTTTAAATTCAGCTACCCAATATTTTATAGTTGTTAATGACGGTCCAGAGTCTCCATAAACTTCGTTAAATTCCGATTTAATTTCGTCGTTTGTTTTCTTTTTCAAAAACAAATATTTTATCTCTGCTCGATATTCAATTTTTTCCATGTTGACAAAAAGCACAAAAGTAACTCAATTCTAACACGTATAAAATTTGTTGTAAATGTCATATCGCTGAGAAATTTTGACACGTGTTATTTGAAGAGTTGTATTTTTTAGCAAAATATTTTTTTTAGTTCTAGCAGCGCCATCTCTATTCAAAATCGGGTAGTTTTCATACGACCCTCGTATGTAAGTAATATTAAGACATTCATTCCAAATATTCTCACTTGGTTTCACTGATGAGGGTTCCACTGTTGCGGCTTCTCTCCTCAACCTCGACAGGTGTAGCTGGCCTATGTCTTATAACGAGACTAATTTAAAAGTTTTTTGAAAATACATATTATGCAAAATATAACCAAAGTTGTGCATTTTTTGTTCACTTATCCATAGCAATGAGCCCGTATAAATTAACTTGAAGCACCAATTTTGCGCGGAATTCTAATAATTTTTCGCGACTTCTTAATGACTCTCGTATTATTCAAATGTCCATTTCAGGTACATACTAGGGGTGTTAATCAAAAGTGATAAACTGTTGATAAATGAACAGTCAAACTTTGTATGGACCAAAGTTTATAACTTTATCAAACGATTTTAATGGATAAACGTATAAATTTCAGCAGAATTCAACCCTGACCTAACCGACATAGCCGAAGTAGGTATACGGCAAGTTCTGGGTTTCGCGAAATCCACACGATGGTTGGAGTAGGAGGGTTCTAACGATCCGCGTGGTATCACAACGGGCCCACAACCAAAGGCCTATGTGTGCTAGTGGGGTCACTGGCAGCCACTTCAACCTAACCTAACTTAACCTAACCCTGACAGACTGCCAGGTGGTTGATTTTGCTACGAACACATAAAAAGCAAATTAGCAAAATGGACGAGGTAAGAATGAAACGTAACTAGCCAGATAAGTTAAATAATAAACAATTTTGTGCAATTATTTACCAAAGTGCGTCCATGAAAGAATGCGGATAAACAATTTATCCCTTTACCACTTTAGATG